CTGGTTGCCTCCTTTGAGCAGCCGGGCCGGAATTGCATTATGTAGATATTTGTCGTTTGTTTAATCCGCTAATGCCAGACTGAGCTGGAAATTGAAACTGTGTAATAGCTGCATCTTTAACAAGGTGAGGAAAGACACTTTCTCAGGTGGACGAGGGATTTGTTGTGACAGCCTTGTTACCTCAGTGAGCGCGGCGCCGGTTTCTTGCTGGGCGACGCTCTCTCTCTCTCTCTCTCTCTCTCAGTTTGGTGTCTCTTTGGATCGGGCCCAAAGTTTGCAGATTGCTGACTGGCACGCAATCGCTTGTCTCTGGTGGGGCAAGTGCTGCACACATGGAGATTTGTCTTTCTCTCATTGTCCCACTCTGTTACAACTTCTCTTCTTTCTTGCTCGTTTGCTTTTCTGTGTTGAATGTTATATGAATCATCTTCTATTGTCAGACACAGTCTTATTATTGTAACACGGTGTCCTGAAAAGCTCTCTATCAAGCAATCTTTCTGTCCTCCCTGAAAGTCAAATATTTTGTGAAAAGGCAAAATCGCAGCCAGTCGGAACATATTTGGAGACCAACCGTGAATGATAGTATGCATTGTGACCCCGCTCTGTCATACTCTTTATTTTTCTAGACACTCATTATTCTTTATATCAGTTCTGATAGGGTCACGGTCAGCTAAATGCAAATAAAAAATGCTTCTAACCGTATAACTGAGCATTGTTAGAATAGCTTAATAAATAGCCTTTGCATCTTTTAGCTGAAAATAAGTCTTATATTTCTACATTGATGTCAAAGGTCATGCATCAAATCAAACTTGGCTCAGATTCATCTGATTCCGATTGAAAATCCGTGAAAGCTACTCAAAAACTGATTAAGACTAAATACGGCTTCACTTGTTTTTAAAGATAAAGTTTTATGCTATTCAGCCTATGTTGCATGTTGTTTTTTGCCTGTTTATATATTATTCAACCGTTTGGGGTCAGTAAGATTTTTCTAATGTTTGTGAAAGAAGTCACCAAGGCTACATTTATTTGATAAAAAATACAGTTAAAACTGAAATATTATGACATATTATTACAATTTAAAATAACTGTTTTCTATTTTCAGTGTCACATGATGCTTCAGAAATCATTCTAATATGTTGATTTAATCAAAAAAACATTTCTTATTATCACTGTTGTGAACACCATTGTATTGCTTAACCTACTGTATCCTATAGTTTGTCAACAGCAGTACATTTGAATACAGTGCAAGCAGTGCAGTTTCAATGTCTTTTTTCTCTTTTATTCTCTCTTTAATAATAAACAGTTTTAATACAATATTGCCTTGTCCGATGTAAAATCTGCAGCAGAAATAGCTTGTTTTATAGCAGTTTCCTACCTTTACCTTGTGTACCCTTAAATAGCCTTGTCAGTAAGGTTCAAATACCCTTTCATCAACACCAAACCAGTCCTCATAAATATGTATGAAATAATAATCCTCATAAATGTGTTTGCAATTCATATTTACACTGAATATCCTTTAGCATTCTAATTATAATTAAAATGGCCATTATTCCAAAGCACCATGTTTAAAAACATGCAATGCTGTGGGTGAAAACAGACACCAATTAGCTTCTACTCAAACTGAAGCAGTTTGAGAACTACATCCTCTGTGGGTTTTCTAACTGCGTTTAGTTTGATGTTTTCATGGAAAAAGAAAATCGCAAAGGGCTTTGTATTGTTGTGGAGAAATGAGAGTGAAATGAATAAAGATGCATGTATGGGGTCTTTATGTACATATGTCCTGCTGTGTGTGCCATTCACACAGATTGACTACAACCTATATATAGGCCTATTATTTGGTTTTCTTACTTTTAAAAAGTAATTGAATGTGTATACAAAAGATAATTAAAATGCATGTGCACCCCTGGGAACTATTGCACTATATTATGACGTATTGTGCACCCACTGTCTTGCACATGTTTGCAGTCAGTTAGAAGTGATGTTTTTAATTTTGTGATTATGTGTTGGTACGTAGTGAGTCTGGCCAGTCTGTGTGTGTGTGTGTGTGTGTGTACCTGTTTTTCTATTCTGGCTAATAAAATCACACAGAATGAAGTATTTTGAAAATCAAAAAATGCACAAAGTTTCCTGTGAGGGGTAGGGTTGGTGTAGGGCAATAGAAAATACGGTCTGTACAGTAGAAAAACCATTACGCCTATGGAGAGTCCCCACAAGGATAACAAACCAGACATGTGTGTGTGTGTGTGTGTGTGTGTGTGATTAAATGTATGTTTCAGGTGAGATATAGTGGAGTGACAGGCAGGAGCCTGGACTCTATCCTCTTAACATGTGCGCTGTGTCTTTAGAGGCGCTCTGAAGTCTCCTCTCCCTCTCTGAGCTGCACGTGCAAACATTTTCCCTTCAGCCTGTCACTCTCATTTAGTGCCACCATCACAGTTTCTTACTGGAGTGACTGGCAGCAGGACAGCCCGCATTAGCATTTTCACTGCCTTACCATCCA